TACTACCACGCTATGTCTAGCTCTCTAGAATTTGTGGTCAGTACATCTGTGTTGCGGGATCCCTCTCGTGTCAACAACGCGGTGGACGAGTTCAAACTGCTCGGTGAAAGCCGAGGTCCAGGCGGTCAGGTCTCTGCAGCAGCAATCGATCGAAATGGAATTATGTTCTTCAACCTAATATCACAAGACAGTATTGGATGTTGGAATACCTACACTGAGTATGAAAGCAGAAATTGGGATATAGTAGCTAGTAGCAATGAAATATTAGTGTTTCCCAACGATTTACGAATTGACCACGAAGTACCTCAATTTGCATGGATAATATCAAACCGGTTACCAATGTATCAATTTAATTTGATAGACCCGAATCAATACAACTATCGTGTTCTCTACTTAGATCCTTTAGAAGCTGTTGAGAATACTGTTTGTCAGCCTCGATTATATAGCTTTTAAGACATGTAACATAAAACGTATATATCAAAAATACCTATAATGAAGTTTGGATTTGAATGTTAATCTAGTAGAATTAATTAACAACTTTGATAATATATAATGTTTTTAAATGTTGAACAATTTTTACTTTCCATTATAATATTCATACATTCATTGACTCTGATGACCTGATTGATTTGGATTTTGATCATCTCGTTTGTTTTCAGCATTAGTTTTGTTTTCTTCTTTAGGAATAGAATTTTGCGATAGCCTCTTTTCCTTATTTGCAACAACGTATTCAAAACTTTCTTCCGGTTCGACTTTCATAGTAATACTGATACCTGATTTGCTAGTTTGTATTTCAGCTTCATTATGAGAACTGTTCGCATTATCTTTCCAAACTTTCGTTCCTGCGGAGGATATATTACTCAATTCATAGTTATCTTTATTTTCTCTCTTACTTATATTCATAAATTGACTATATTGTACAGAATCTAAGGACATCACGTCTCTACTGCCGACTCCTTTATTTTCAGTTTTATCCGCCATTTTATTTAATTCAGGCGTTGAATGTTGTATTATATCAGAATTCTTCTTCATAAATATTTGGGGATAATTTGTTAAATATGACGCCACTTTTCCTTTGCTACTACCCACTAAATGAGACGGTTCAGTTAGTTCGGCAGTACTATGAAGAGGCGGTGTATTATTTTCTAACATCGCAGGAAAACTGTCAAGATATTTCGATGAAGTTGTGCCGTCATTTTTTAAATAATAAGCGATTCGTAGAGACATTGTTATGAACTGTTCTAATATGCGATCCGTGTCTCTTGGAATGATCAATTCACTAGCCAAATAGTCTTCGAAATTGGCGAGATCAGAAACTGTCCTGTTTGATGAGACTGATAAAGGGCGCATTGTATTGCACACGTATGACGGCTCTGGTATGGTTTCAATATTTTTAAGATGAGCTGTAGCTTGAGGAATATCTTCAAACGTAAGACGTGTTGGAGAATGAGGTTTGATTATTTGGGGTCTTTCTTCATATCTATAAATAACCATAAATAAATACATTCTAAAAACTAAATAATAAGCATAGACTAATTTTAAATGCAAGAAATCAGTCCATCAACAATTTTTATATTAATATAAATGTAGTAAAAATATCTTATAAGGTCTAAAAAATCGCTCGCATTATTAACTTACAGTCCAGCTATTATTTTCCGTCGTAATTGGTCTTCGTCAAACAAAGACTTAGTGCGTCTTCTCCGTACAGCTAGTTCTAGACCCAGATCTCTGTCAACAGACGGCACCACTGCTGGGAATGTTTTGAATGCTACCGTCATCTTCAACGCGTGGTAGTAACTGTAATGTTAGTAAAGTGATCATCAAATTTCGCATCGGAGCTGGATCTTAATTGTAACGAATGTATATTATAGTTATCACTAAAACATCTCTCATTATCACTGTACTCAAAAGCGAATAATTGAGTATTAATAAAATCTAAAGAACAATTATTTCCAAAGACAAATGTATCTATGGATTAAATCTTACCTCAAAACAAGGATCCACATATAAAAAGCAGGTGCGATGGACATTATCTTAGTTATGAGGAACCTGACACAGGCCGGCCGGCCGGGGCCCAGCAGCACGCAGGTCCCTAGCCCCAACGCCAAGCTCATCAGCTCACACAACAGCTTTCTTACCGCAGCCAGCAGCAACCATGGTAAAACCAATGTCGGTCGTTCCTCCTAAATGTTCAAAGAAATTCAGTCCTAGTCACAGGTTCTATTCTTTTACTTAACGAAAAACCAAAATAACGTTCTATATTGTATGGTGATAGTATACACATCACCACCGAAGGGCACGCTTGTTAAAGGTTACGTCAAAAATCTTTTTATTTGATTAGTATCTTAATAAATTATATCAACCGATGTAAAGGATCGTCTCGTGGTAATCAAATATCAAAGTTTTAGAATAACGCCTGTTTAAATTAATGAAGCAAAATAACTGAACAGGAGATTGCGTTTGTACGAACGATAAAGTAAAATTATCGCTTAGATGAAATTTTGCTCTGCGTTGATTAAACTCAGCGGCTACTGTATAGTGACTAACCAAAAATACAGGATACATCAACACTATGTAGACCGCGAGGTAGACGTAGAGAGTGAAGCACTCTACCAGCATCACTCCGGACACCATGGTCCGCAGCACGCGCTGCACTGGCTTCGACAGCTGCGGCGGCATCTTCATTTGCCATACCTGAGGGAACAATGCGAAATCAGTTGCATGTAAAAGGTAAAACAAACATTTCTAATGTTTTGGCACAAGATTTAGTGTTCGATAAAATGGATGTCATAGTCTTGTATATCATACACTTGTCACCCATTGAAATATTATTCATATCTGGCTCGAAGGACCAACATGTACGATCGAAATTCGAAATTCGAAAATCGAAAGTCCTTCAATTATAACTGTAAAATTAAATTTATTTTTCGCAAATTTTACTTATAGGCACAATTTTAATGATATTCTAAAAAAGGCGGTATAGTCTAAACTTAAATTAAAGACTATATAAATGTTTCCTTGTTTACTAATGAATTTTAAACCATCTAAGGATAGCCTTCATAAAAATTTACTATGGTCTATGAAACATCTTATAAAACACACTTAGCATAGAAAATGAACACCTAAAGCTACAAATAACGATTAAATTAGTGACGGCTCCAGAAATCGAATTCAGGTTGCACGGCTGTTATAATACATAGGGTGAACGGCCGGTATCTACTATGCCATCGTGCGTCTTGTTGATATATTAATGTTGATACGTGACCATATAGCTTTTAGGAGTTTTTATTACTTATAGGTAATATTAGAATCCAGTTATAATATTAAGACAATACTAAAATCGATGGAAAATAAATTACATCCAACCGTAATCTTCTAAGAAATATGTATAAACGGGAACATAATTTCATCTACACGTGTGATAGTAAATTATAAAACATAAAGTTAACCATATTGCATAACACGATACTAAGAACGTTTTAATTTTAGCAAACAATAACACTCTGTTTCAAACAAGTCTGCATTGTAGTTAATTTAGACCGAGTACCGGTGTTACGGATGGTTTATCTTTCGTCGATGCACCTGTATGAGATTTGAATTCACTTTGAACAGCGTTGCGTCGAAGATGGTTCGCACAAGCCCCATCAAAGTCCACAAGCAGACTTCCGCTTGTAAGTTCATGCCAACATACGACAAGATGTTAAACATAATTACAAGTTGATGATTCACATGTCCAAGGTACAGTTAAAATCTAAATTACGTTCATTTTAAAATTCTTTTCATAATGTTTAGAAGTAATTGTTTTTTGCATTTCATCTTGTTATGTTTTAACGGAAATATTGTGTTTACTTTAAACTGTCATTTTAATTTTGGCATTTGTCTGTCAAGATAATTCACATAAATAAAAATGGATAAAAACACAAAAGACCCCAAACGTGAAAAAAGTATTAAAAACTGTAAGTAATGAGTTAAAAAAAAATGTTAAATTGTAAGCAATAGTATTCATTAGTACAATGACACTACATATTCTCGGATATTACTGTTTTTTTTGTTTTACGGGAAAACATAGTAAGTAGTATAATAATAAAAAATCCCAGTTGTAACCACGTACGCTTTGTTTATGACGTCACCCCAAAAAATTGCGATTATTATAAACTAAATAAAAATTAACACAATTAAAGTTCCTTAGATAAAATTTCCTGTTAGTGTTAATATTAAATCGATAAGGATAGAATGCTGCCAACCTAACCCACTATAATAGCAAACCGGTAGGTAATTTTCAGTCGATCGCAAACATTTTGGGGAATCCCAATGGTAATATCTATCATCCGGTAATCCTAGTAATAATAAATAAAAGTCTTCATATAGAAGACATTTAACTTCGAAATTTAATTATTGACGATATTTCTCCAAATAAAGGCACATTAGTCTCTAAAATTGGGTACAGAATTTATTAATTCTTTGTCCAGAGATAAATGAAAAAACACTTTGTCGGGTAACAAGCCGTGCAAATAAATTGCACCGTACGATACGCCGCGACATGCGATCATCACACCACATCAGACTGACGTTTGCTGTCGAAAGAGTGTGTCGTGTGGCTGACCGCGCTCCCCAACTCAGTTTCCCGCGTCTTGTTTTATTCTCATACTACGCACTATTTATTTCTTTAAAAATAACTCTCACCGTGCTAATTTGTGTTCCAAATTGTGCATAGACTAACAGTGTTTATCACGGAAATACTGAGGTAATTATCAAATTGTTTGTTAAAAAAATGTACGAAACTTTTTTATTATGCTACGATTATAGTGTTTAGTTTATCTGTGCGATAGACCTTGGAGCTGTTTCTGTATAATGTAGGTTGCGTCCTTACCTTGGACATCATGACCGCATGAGACGCGAGTTATTTTTGTTAATTCTGTAAACGCATCTCGTCATATCCCAGTATACTGATAAAATCGCATACACTTTAGACGCGTCCTTAAAAAATATAACGCACTATAATAATGCGTAGTAAGTAATAACAGAATTGGCGTATTTCTATTGGCAAAAACAGAGATATTAGAATGTGCGATGATTGATTCTGTATTTTAGCATATTCAAAACAGATAAACGGCAGATGAACACATTCATGATGTCTCTGGATTCGAGTCCAAGCTTGTATGTTCTAAGCCAGGATTAGACAGCAAAATAATTAGTGTGATACTGTTTTGTTCCAAAAAAAATACACTACTGTAGTTTGTTCTCAACTCCATGAAACTCAAACGCTCGATGGTTTTAACATGAATTTTCAGAAGGCACATTAAACTTTTCATTCAAAAGAAGCTGCGTTCTAAAGTCAAGTCTTTCACTGATAAGTTATTTGGGTTTCGAATTCTGTTCGTAAATTGTATATCGTAATATGTCTACATAACAAACAAACAAAAGTCTACATAGATAGGACAACATGAAGAAAGAAATTCACATAATTGATGATCATCATCAGTAAACCAATAATAGAATTTATTATTTATATATTTGGTCTAAGGCTGAGCATCTAAAGTCAATATTCAATGTGGGAGAGTCGGGCCCACGCATCTAACTGTAAACTATTAGCCAATTAAAACGTTCGTTGTTTTTTCTTTTTGTTTCTCGTGTGTTGTAACGATCTGACAATATAACGACACTTTCGAAATTTATACCTCGGTTGCTTTTTAGGTTAGGAAATTTGGTTGTTTCAACGTGACACGTGTTAACAAACCTTGCGGTATCCATGAAGAGATCAGTGACAAGCTCATTATAGACAGGTAGGGTGACTATTACGCACCGACAATACACGGAAAATTATTCAAATACGCTAAAATACCCAAGTATCATAAAATAAGCGAAACGCACTTGCAATTAAAGAGTAGTTTAGCAAGTTTGAATAGCAAAGATACGATATAATTGTCCAAAATTTATGTTCTGTTGATATCTTCAAATTTTCTGAAGAATTCTTTCTTTATATTTTGTTGAATGAAGCTGCCGTTAGATGTGAAATTACCGAACTAAAGTCTAATGTTATTTCACAATGGTAAATTTTATTTTTTTATAAAAAGAATGTCCTGATTTCTTCACAAAGTATGGTAAATCTACAGAGTCGCGTCATTATAATTAACAACGTTTCAATTCGCACGCATGTCTTTTGGCATCGCTTCTTTGTTGGCTACTCCCCTTATAGTGTAAACATATTGTTGACATACTCGTATTAAAGGACGATGGATAAGAGTACCGGAAATCTACAAGAATACGTATATACAAAGATGAAAGAAGATGTGAAATGTAGATAAAACTGTATTATAAACCGATATTTTCGTGTTCTTGCAAATTTGGTAATAAAGTGCACGATAAGCGAAGTTTTATTAGAGTTGGACTTTAATATACTTACTAATTAGAATCGAAAGACATAGATTTCATAATATATAATTATTTTTTTAATAAACAAAAAAGAGAAATCGAAATATTGCCATTTCTATATTTAATTCGCTAGTTAATTGAGATTAAAAATTTAAATCGCTTGTGTGACTAGATTATAGATAAATGTATGAATAAATTAGTGTACACTTTCACTCTATGATTTATAACAACGAATGCCATTTTAGGATCACTGGTCCAAACTTCATCTACGACTGTATTTGAATTTGGCCTACATTTTTATATTTATTAATGTCTAAGAAATGAAAGGAAAAGTTTCAACTACAAATAATATAAAAAATATATAAATCCTACTGGTATTAAGTGTATATATTGCTAAAATAAATTGGTGAAACGAAGACTTTCTAATTTCAATTAGGTAGTAATTATTGACACTAATCACAATGGATAACATTGAAATAAAAAAAATATCTTGAGTTGAAGGAAACATTTAAATATTATTTACAAATACATGTAAAACTAATTAATAAGAAAATTTTATATAGAAGCAATATATTGGTTTGACCTCTCACATTTCTTGACAATATTTCCTTAACGCTGATAAGATGCAAGTTTTACAAGGAAACTGTTGACATTACATATTGTTGCTTTAGATATTGATATGTGAATCGAAAATGTTAAAACTCAAACAATACGGTCACGACACGTTAATAATTGCTTATATTATAATGGTCAAGCACTATTTTTGATGTAACATTTCAGATTTTTAGGATTCAGGAAACCAAAAAAATCAATTATTACTAAACGCACATATACATATCAAATTTAACATAACAAATTCAAGTAAAAAAACATTTTATCAGATGTTCTTGACGTAGGTTTAAAAATGGAACTGTTTTTTTTTAAAAAAAAAAAAGCAAAGCAACAGCAATTGCTCGACGATACCGGTGTAGGTCGTATAACAGTGCTGGCCAGTGGTCCTTTTTGTTGATCTTGAGATACGTGAGAACACGACCATGTCAACTTCGCCTTGTACGGCATGACAAGGTGCGGTGCTCAAGTGATAATGGACGCATAGACCACCGTACGATTTCCCGAACTTTCTACATACCCACACAAGAAGTGTAGAAACTCATCCACAACATTGTTACCATTTAGGGATGTTCTCATTCAAGTTTTAGTTCGCTAACGTGAAAAGTTAACAAAGAAACTAGGTTAACGAAGACTAACGTTTCGATTTGTTCGTTAATTAACTAGTTTTGGAAGTGTATTAACACTTTTAGAAGGTCTGTTCATACTCTATTTGCTTTATTAAGCGTTGAACTGTAAAATGTCAGGTCGTAGACATTTTTACATAGTTTATTATCATACTTTGCCAGAATTTAAATATTGACATACAGCGCACTTGGAAAACGTCTGGCATTCACTTAGAATGTCTTGTTTGTCGGTAAAGTTAGGGAGTTAAGGTAACGCTGAATTAATAAATATCGAATAAACTTTCAAATATATTTCGCAAGGATTGAATTGCGTTTTTTGGAATACTGTATCATGCGTGCAACAATAACTTTATAATATGAGTCATTTGTAAGTTCATTGAAGGCTAAGCCCACATTTCGCGGTCCACCATTGCGTTGGTACTCGCTGCAACAATGACTCATCTCTTCGTTATTGGATTACACGCCGAATATACAAGCGTTGCTGATGTCATCTCTAATTATTAAAGTTTCTTTCTCGCCGTACACTAATGGTATCAATCAAGTATAATATATAATATAATCAAGTATAATAAACTGGCTGAAAACTCGTTTTAAAAAAAATCATACAAGTCTTCAATATTATCGTCAGCTATACATTATAGTCTAATATCTAAACGTTTTTGAAGAGTTGTCACTAACCACAAAGTTTATTGTTTTTTTTTTTATTAACTATAGCTTTAATTTCGATACGTAAAATCCATTAAGTATGAAATTTTATTGCGTGGTTTGTTTAGTATGTTTTATCTGTAACTTAAAGTTATCTCAACACATTAGCTTGCGGAAGTCCGTTTTAAGATTATATCTGGAATGCAATTTCACCTTTATTGGCGATGCGATCACCGATGAATGTTTTTAATTGGAATTTAAAGTGCTGCGCTCGCCGGTAAAGGAATTCTTCGTATTACTGCCTCTGTGTGTGTTCTTTATGTCAAAGTTATGATAACAGTGTTCAATGTAAAAGCGTGTTGATTAGAATAACCTGGCTCTACTACAATACTTTGTGAGTAAATAACAATTGTTGAACGAAACATAACTACTAAACACTGTTTTTTTCTATTTTTCTAGCGTATAATTTAATTTCCGTTAGATATACTTGTTTAACTTGTTACCGACAGCGCGGCAGCCAAAAATACAAAGTAAATCTTTTATTTGAACTCAAACATCTTTATTTAAACTTATTTACATATTAACAGTAATTGCAAAACGATATCGTGAACACGTCTTATTTTCTTGTGTCCTTTTCTTCTATTGTTTTTATCATATATTTTATAATAAGAAATAACGCAAACGTCTTGGTGGCCAGTATGCAACCTCTTTGGCTGTATTCGTACCTAATGCTTGTCAGGCAAAAAGGTTGTATTTTGCACTCAACAATACTTATGTAGTACTTATTGTCCAAAGTCCCCGAAGCAGGCCAGAGTGCGTCCACAATTCGTTAGATACAAATCTATTTAATTACATTTGTCTTGAATTAAATTATTGGATCAGTTAAAGTTTACGTGCGGAAATGTAAGTGCTTTGTCCTTTAATGCTTTCGTCTGTTCAAAATAATCTGTCGATCTCAACAACGGTTGGGACAGGATATCTCCTCGGCTATAAACTCGCTCGCCTTACGCTGTGTTGACATCACTCGAATGACTATAAATGGAGACGCGAGTCGCAAACGTAATACCGTGCGGTAAATTTTCAATGTCACTGCCATGTTTCTGCTTACGCCTTCGAGGTTATGTACGATTAAGTCATTCCTTGCTCATACTTGCCCTCACTATATAAATAGTAATATGTAGCAAGCTTCGTAGAAATAAAAAAAACATTCATTTGTTTATACGTTTAAAGTGAATGAAGCACTCTGATTTGATTTTATTTTCCCCTGTATTATTTATTTCCCCTATATTTGTCCCTTCTAAATATTATGCGAATGTTCCAGTATGTTCTATGCATGTTTGCAATGTTTTAGTCGTCATAAAAACAACGGTAGGCAACTTATCGTGTAAAGTTTATTGCAAATGCATGCGGAGTGTAAAGATGACGAAGTACTTTACTTCAAGTGACCTTCCAGTCTCCTTTCTTTTTAAACATTTTAGTCATGATACACATTCGAAGACATAATGGAAGAGTCAAGAATCAAACTCCATAGAAACGAATGGATATACTCCATACGGACCACTGAATGAAGACTGAAGTTCTTATTAGCCATCTCCGTTGTTTGTGGGAGCTTTAGTCCCGATTATTTAATCAGGTACCTATTTATTAAACATATATTTGAGGTAGATTTCAATATATACACAAAAGATACCGGGGAATGTAAGTTGTTTATAATTCAAACATTGTCTATTGAAAGAGCGCGGCTGGTGATGACGTCAGAATATGGTACTGACGACCTTTGTTGCTATTACGAAATTAAAATAAAATAATGTTATAAATGTTCAATTGAATTCAAAATGTAAATTACAACTATTTGAAATGTCGGTTTTGAGTTTCGACTGCCGTAAACTTGTATCGATACTTAGTGTTGTCTCTATTTTGCCAAAGACCAATAAGAGAAATGAAAGAGGAAATGAATCTTGTCGAATCCCATATTAAGGTTGAATTTGTCAATTGACATTGAATACCTGTTACTCATTGCATAACAGGTTACAAAAAACTTGTTATGTAATAAAAATTGACATATCATGCACTAAATTAATTAAGTGCCCTTATAAAATAGGCTAGTAGATGATACAATAATAAGTATTTAATTTTATTTTATTCATATTGATGGCCATTCTAGTTTGAATTTCTGCTTGAATTTTTAAATCAGAACTAGGAAACAATAAAATCTTTAAACCTTAAAATATTGAAGTTGTAACTATCCCAAAAAAATCTGTGAATGTATAAAATCTGGTACACTTTCGAAGCGAGTAGTGATCTTAATAGATGCATCGTAATTCAATATCTGTGGGATAGTTGATTGACTCAATGACGTCGAATGAATGACTGAACATCTGACGATCTGAGAGCGTAACGAAAGGAATGCCTGCACATCTGCTGCAATAGGAAGCATGCATGAGAATAGATACAGTGACCTAATGTTAACACATAATGTTAATATCCTTAAATTTGTATAAACTTTTGTAAGGCCCGAATCAAGCATGCTACCTCAGTTTTTCTTTAAAGACTGCTTTTTATACTAGTCTTTTTTTTAATAATGTAAGTCAAGGTTTTTTCCCCTCAACTCTTTTCGATGTGTGCGCAATTTCGGTTGCTTCATGTCATTAGATTTAGAAAAAAAACGAAAGTGGTAGAGAATCTCCAATGTATAAGCAAAGAGCATTTTAAGTAATGTTAGAAACACATGCAATAAAATGGAAAGTTAAATTTTGTTTATTCCAAGCAGATTGTAATGTGCAAATACTGCGTTGTATGATGCATTCAAAACGACCTTTTTAGTTTTCAATGAATCTATGGCTTAACGTAACGGCAATTTTTACTTGTTAACATAACATTTCGAAAGTATTTCTTGCTATTTTTTATATATATAACAACAAAAGTCATACTTATCATAAGTATAAGTTATAGAAAGATCCACATTACTATAAAAAAAAGAAAGGAAGAGTTAATTAAAAAGGCAACACTAAAATATAACATAGAGTCGATTTTCCGTTTCATAAGTTGTCAGTTTCATCTATTTAAATAATACTCTAGTTTACAAATGGGCTGGGTTCAATTATAAAACAGAAGCGATTGTAATTCTATACACACGGGCGAAGTTACGCAATATTGTAACAAAGGTGTAGCTCGACCCGAACGTACTGACCCAAGTAACGACGTTCTTGTATTGTTACAATACCACATACAGTTTAATTACATTAAGGGCCTGTCCCACCAAATTGTAAATTGTCTGATAATAATCCAAATTGTATAATATGTCATGGAAATATTGGATTTCGTTACCTTATCAGACAGTGACGTCGTTTTAAGCCATCTGATTATCAGCCAGTGGTGGGACAGGCCCTTATTGATATGCTCACAGCGTTTTGTTGACTGTACCTTTAATGAATACATTTGTTGTTGACTGTAAATCTACATGTTGACATTCCAGAACATTACTATGAGTATGATAATTATATGAAGTTAACCTACTGCCCTATTGAGTTATAAACATAAATATTCATAAAACGTGTATTTTCTCGATCTTGTAGTCACAATACTGTGATTGTTTTTTATGTAGGTGCTTACGCTATATATTATAACACAAATAGATATCCTATTATCGTTTCCTTGCCTTGCCCCCACTTTTTGTTCCTTTCATGTCATGCCACCGGAATGGCCTTATACTAATTTATCGTTTGATACAAACGTCTAAAAATGAAAGTGTAATTGAAATCTCACTTTCTATCTTTTATTTTAATCGCGAGTCATTAGAGTTAATGTATGTTCTTTTGTATACTTTATTCCGTTCCGCTTCAGTGGAAACGCACCTTTATTCTATACTTATTAGCGAGTTTATCAAGCAGAAATAATAATGCGACCACATTTTGTCGTATCATTTTCCTTCCAGAAAATATTGTTTGGTGAACTTTATATGGCATATTGTGTTACTTTCAGTCCGACCGGATAATGGCTTATAGTGGTAAGGTGTGGCTTTCACTAACCGAGGTTGTGCTTAAATTAATAGCTGTAGAAGGGGGAACTTTTAGATCGGGGCTGTAGGTAAATAGGACAGGTCAATGTCATGATGGCGATGGACGAAGGTTAGGCAATTTGGCATTGGCTGAAAGCCCTTTTGTATAGAATTTCAAAGTTTTTTCTTAGGTTAATAACTGGGTTTAATGTTCAGGCCATTTTCAGATTTGTTTTATGCCGAAATTTGAACGACTTACTATATCAGAACTTTTAGGATAGGTAGAGGTATAATTCGGTTTCGAAACAACAATTATTGGAGCGTAACTTCAGCACCCGGACGCTATTAGGGACTGTAAAAACAACAAACATTTCACAATCGTCTTACGTTATTATGATTGACTGAGCGACCGTATCGGTGATAGATCCAGAATTAGACGTATTAGCCAATACGGGTCGATTGCGGATCGAAGTGTGACGTCACTGCGACCTCCAGCGTTCTGGATTTAAGATGAATCATTCGCACGAAATATTTGTGCTGGAAAAAATACATACGCTCGTAACAAATGTTACTCAATATCAATGTTATTTCGAGACCTATTTCATTACACGGATCTTGTAAGAGATTAAACAAACACTAAACTATTTGAATAAAAAAATGAGATATGAATATTTAGGGACAATGATACAAAATCCTATAGATAGTTTTACGCTAAGATAGTGACTAGAGATATTTAAATATTTACTAGCTTTTGCCCGCGACTCTGTCAGGGTGGAATTAACAAAAAAACAAAATCAAATAGCCTATGTGTTCTTCCAGACTATCATCTGCATCTATGCCAAATTGCATCGAGATCCCTTCAGCCGTTTAGGCTACAAACTCTAACAAACATCCATCCGTCCATCTAAACTTTCGCATTTATAATATTAGTAAGATAACATGCTCTAGCGTATTGTCTCGACATATCCATGTTTAGTATTATCAGTGATCATAACGTTTTCTCCTTATTCGTGCCACCATACTTTAAACAAGTCGCTGCCACATGTGCTTTGAAGTCTACCATGTTTGTTCTCTGAATTGCGCTCCTTGTTATTACTTGAGTCAGCATCATCTTTTTGTGTCTGTCATACTACAAAGAGAAAAAACAGCAGACAATAAATTTTAAAGTAATACTACGACATATAAATCTCAACAGACGGCATACATTACACTGTGTAATCATTATAGTATTCTAGGTCATCAATACCCAACAATAATGATTTTTGACCGACTTCCCAAAAGAAGGAGATACTCAATTCGTCTGTATGTCTTTTTTTTATGTGTGTTACGTCATAACTCCGCCGCTAGTGGACCGATTTTGATAATTCTTTTTTTATCCGAAAGGTAATGCTTGCAGGTGGGCCCCATTTTTTTGTTTGATTTTTGGAGTCAAAGACTACGAGGTAGTTAAATAGTTTAGCTCAAAATCGCGCGACGAAATTTCGGGTCATTTTTTAAGAATACTAAAACTTGATTCAGTCGATAAAGGTGAGCTTTTGTTATGCGAAATATTTTTTTTTTATTTTAGTCATATTTTCTCCAATATTGATATCTCTTATATATATCCCTGAAATCTTAACCTTAATTAATGATAGTCTTGACATTTAAACAGTAAATATAATACAATTGTGCAAAAAAACATTCCATACATAACTATAATGACAAAACAGGTTTAACGAGAGAATAATCGCTTCCATCGCTAACTAGATAATGCTCGGGAGCCCCGCGTAAACTACGGAAGTCGTCCAATGTCAATTCACCCACGCACGCGCTAAACAACACACATTGCAGACAGACTAAAAAATATATAGTAAGAACTTCAAAGTACGTTTCAATTTTTTTTTGCAATAGACTTGGGTATTAGAAATGACAAGAAATACCGGATGAACCTCAAGCCAATGGCATGTAGCTTCCAAGTTACTTTGTTAGTTCTTTACTTCTTTTGTTTTTAACATTATTAAGCTATTGTCTCCCAACTCAACAAATCCTTTAGCACTATAGAAGTAGTTTCTATCCGCTTAAATTTAATATTTATACATTTGAGTTTATTAGATGCCATATTTAGCATCAACTACGTAATAAGATGTAGTTTTTATTTACAAAAACTAGTGTTTCATATCGATTGGCCAAAAGCAGAATTCGCGAATCATGACAATTTATCTACAAAACAGTTCATTCAACTCAAGTGTATATAAATCGAACATTTTGTCACGAAAATGAAAAAAACCGCTTCAGACCATTTAAATTTTAAATCGCCTAGCAATAAGATACCGTATACCAAGTAAAGACTCGTTCATAATTTATTTAGCAAATAATTTATTCGTGTTTTTTTGTTACAGAACGCCATGAGGCGGTAGAACCAAGACAAAAATAGTCAGTTGCCTACAAGTCACAGAGTAGAAAAGTCAGAATATCGAAATGGGGAGGCTGCAAAAATGCTGTTGCTGTGCCTCTACAAAAACTGGCACACTGATCACTGCGGTATTAGGCATCATTCTGTCCATCATCACAATAGTCCTCGTGTGGGTGGTGAACAGACATGAAATATCCTTCAGAACCTTCATATTTGCTGAGGAGTTTGATAAAAAGCTGGCAGCGTTAGACAGTAAGTTTTTTCGTTTTTTTTTTTTAATTAATCACGAGTGTAAAATAAACAATGTGTTGTTTAATTGTGACAACGTTGTTGATCATCTGTCCTTGACGTATTTACGTAATGGTAGTTCGTATTAGGATGAGTACACATACCATTACTGTATTGCAGTAGATAATATTGCGGTTAGAGTACAGTCATAATTCTCGCTAGAGACGCCATCAAATTAATGAATGAACTGTAGTTAGTCATCACCTTATCACGCCAATATAACATTATGAATACATCTAGATAACAATTCCTTTAGATCTCAATTTCTAATTGTAAAGTCGGCCAACATCTATTTTGAGAAGATCTCAATATCTACTAAAAATATAAAAATACCTAGTGTGCAATTAAAAATAAAATTTTCACACATACCTTTTTCTTGTCTTTTACAGTTCCGAGAATAATCCTGACAATCAATTTGTGCTTCACAATTTTGATTTGTTTCCTGCTTATCGTCGCAGTACATAAGGTAAAAATTTCTACGCCAAAAATAAAGAGAGAAGAGAATTTCTCTCAGCCTGTCTCAGATTAGATAGAGATATAAATGTAAGATTCTATTTTTTCTATTACATGCTGTCCTTAGAAGTCATTTTCGGTAAGATTTTTCATGTCTTCTAAAATAAATTTGCCGTCATTTACCTTGGCGTAATAAACAAGAGACTTGATAAATGAAGTTTTCAATGATTCCAATGAAGGATCTCTTACTGACTTAATCCTACAACCATGATTAGATAATTAATATTTTTTTGTATGTTTAGCGACGGTCATGGCTGATGCTGCCGTGGGTGGTGTTGGGTATCGTGCTGGCGATTGGTCTTCTCATCAGTGTTCTGCATACCGCCATCACGTACTACTTGGACGACCAGGACCACGTTATCCTCGCCACTTGCATACTCGTCGGCGGCCTCTTCTACTTGTGTAAGTTGCGCTGTTTCAGATTAACTCATTATAAATTAATTGAATTTTCAAATTTGCGACACAAAATTGTAAAATCATACTAATGTTAATATATGTTTAGATGGATGGATGAATGGATGTTTGTTAGAGTTTGTAGCCTAAACTTTCAATGGAATTTGGTATAGATGTAGAGGATAGTCTAGAAGAGCACATAGGCTACTCACATTTGTTTTTTTTAATACCACGCGGACGGATTCGCGGGCAAAAACTAGCTTAAATATTTGAAGAAAATTGAAATCGAAAGGCATACGCATGAGATTGATTTTGTAAATTCATAGTGTTGAATTCTTATTGTATTTAATGTTTTTATGTTTCAGGTCTGTACCTGTATTTATGGGCGGTTGTCTTCAGTCACTACCTGGACGTACGTGATGAGGAAGAACGTGGCAGATACACCAAAGCTCCCTACAAGCGATAGGAGCTCATCTAATATGTTTCAACTGATTTGATTTGTACATTTTTATTTAACTGTACAAATCTGATATTATTAATTTCTGCTGCCGAAACATGTGTAGAAAAAAACATTTTCTTATACATTCTGAAAACAGAGACAAACAGCATTATTTCATACATATGATCCGGCAGTGAAAATAGATGTAATTGTTTCTTTGACGACTGATCTAGCAATATAGTCACTCTACAGAGACTTAAACAACGATATAAAGTAACAAAAAGGAATAAGTACCTGTATTAGGTATTCAGGTAAACAATATCCACAATCATTTGCTGTACAACTTTTTTTCACATATCAACGAAATATAGTAATAAGTAAAAATACTTAAACTTTTGAGGAAGATACAAAAGATCTGAATAATTTTCTGAAAGATTGACAAACAAATCGTACATTTTTTATATGTGCCATTGTTGTTGTTTTTAGGTTATAAAGCACAAATTTAACATTAATATGTAATAAGATGTTTTTACTATTTCATTGTACAAATTACATTTAAAAACATTAATGTGGAAATTAAGCATTTATTTTTAATCTAAACAATGTTCTTGATGATCATTTGTTTTGAACAATAGCAGTAAAGTGTCATGTATAAAGTTAGAGACCCTACAAATGTATTTACTTTTATACATGTTATGTAACAAAGAAAAGTTACCATATGTAGTTTTTAATGAGATAATTGTTCGATGTTCTAGAATAAGTCATTAACTTATTTTTGTAACTTTCTTTTGGCGACTTTTATTATATCAATAAATGTTTTAATTATACGTATCACTCTACGACGCTTTTTTTTTCTCTACCACCTCTTCCAAATCATGCATTGAGAGACTTTTATTATATTCTCCTACCTAGAAACCTTTTTAATAAGTTTAGTAGTGAATTTGAGGTTAGAGGACGTATTCCTGTTACCGGTGTGAGAATTTATTTTACTTTGTTTATATTACAAAATAAACCGTGCGTATATAAAAAAACTAAAGGAAAGGAGTGAAAGATAATTTTAGACTTATAAATTGGCCAAAAGGCCTCTGCATAACCATAGAGAACAGTTCAGTAACTTACTATAAAACAGGTTTACGAGTTTCCGTGTACCTTTTGACGTAAAATGCGACGAAGAAAACATTGTCTCAGAAAAAATTTTACTCGATCTCTTTTGTTTATTTTAGCGATTGTTTCTTAAAACACTTTATGTGAGCGATAATACAAGATTATTTAACCCGAGTTGAAGGTTAAATGATAAGAGTCGTAAAAAAACTGTCATCAGCATTTATCGTGGCTGTGGTTAGTCGTTGTTGTGTTCTCGGAATTTAGTGTTTTGGATAAGAATAGGTGAGATTCTTTTTAATCTTATTTACTAGTTCAAACTTGGAGTAGGATAAAATTTTATTAAAACCTTAGATTTCCGTTATACAAGAAAAAGAAATTAAACACATTTACGGTTGGCAAATAATATTAGTGATATGTCTTTTCTCTTTCCTAGGTAAATAAACTATGGAAATATCATTCAGAGGAAAAAGGGTTCTCGTGACGGGTGCTGGTCAAGGTAAGTCATACAAATTGACTTTATCAAGAACTATTCTCTTACTGTTTTGGTACATATTTGTGGCAATATATTGCAAAATTTACTTTAGAACTAGTATTTATCAAATAGATTTACAGTTATCAAACTTTGTAGGCATTGGTCGCGGGATAGCAGAACAGCTATGGCGAACTGGAGCTAAAGTGGTTGCCGTCTCCCGCACACGATCGCACCTGGAATCCCTCCAGAATGAATATCCTTCTATCGACATTGTTGAACTAGATGTAGGCGATTGGGACAAGACCAGAGAAGTTATAGAGTCTTTAGGACATTTCGACGCCCTCGTCAATAATGCTGGAATAGGATTATGTCAACCTTTCCTTGAATGTACGCCAGAAGCATTTGATACGTAAGTAAAACATTAAATTAGATGCAAAAATGGATAATACTACAAAAAAACAAGTGTCAATATTATTAATTTGTTAAATTATTCTGTGTCTCGTTTTCCAGGACTATGAATATCAATCTGAAGTCGATCATCAACGTGAGCCAGGTTGTTGTGAAGAAAATGATAGACAATAAAACACAAGGAGCCATAGTTAATGTTTCCTCGCAAGCATCTAAGGTCATTTTTGTATTGATATGAGGTTAATCTGTGGTTTTTTGTTCTAATTTTATTACTGTTCCAGGCAGCACTTAAAGACCATACAGTTTATAGTGCTTCCAAAGCTGGTCTGGACGCTGTAACCCGCGCTATGGCGTTGGAACTAGGCCCGTACGGTATCAGAGTGAATGCTGTTAACCCAACCGTCATCATGACAGCGATGGGTAGGATCGGCTGGGCTGATCCGGATAAAGCTAGTGCGATGCTCTCCAAAATACCACTCGGAAGGTGAGATACTTATCAGTGCAAAGCCTTGTTTCAGAAATCTCAGATTTTCCTTTGGTTCGACTAAAGTATTTCCCCAAATTTATGTTCCTTTAATCTGCTTACCCTTGGATTATGTGCGTCTTTCACTTATATCTAATTTTAACCATGACAAATCTGGAAAATACTATAAAAGAATATTCATGGGCATTATTCTAGATCGTAATATATGATGCTTCAACATTCCCGATTTTGTTAATGAATTGGTATTCTTTCATAGATTCGGAGAAGTATCGGAGGTCGTCGACGCGGTGCTATACTTGTTAAGCGACAAAGCGAGCATGATAAACGGAGTAGAGCTGCCAATTGACGGAGGATTTCTTGCAACATGAATAGATTACAATTTGAATCCAAAATAAAATCTAAAAAAGAGGTTTTTAACTCTGCTGTGAATCAATTCTTAATAGTACCGCGTGTACAGATATAAAACGGTTACTTAAGGCATGTATAATCGTTTTAAATTGTACAAGATTTATATTTTCATACTATCGGTAAAACGTTACGACGTCGAATAGTTTTTTTTACAAAACGAAGATCTACGTCTTAAGTTTGTAAAACAACAAATACGCTAAAGAGTTCAAAGACGCTAGAGGAATTTACTAATTGTCTTCATATTTTCATCTTTTCTAATTTCAATTGTTTTATGGTAAATTGTGCGCCGCATATCTGATTCCGTGTGCAAGCACAACAATAAGGAGAGCCATAGGATGAGTATCACAATCTTCTAGAAGGTCTCTGTAGAACTTCTTTCGAACATGTTTGACCAACTTGTGGTCTTCACCAATACGTTTGATAAATATAGCAGTGCTATTATAGTTGAAGTTACGCGATTCCTTAATACAGCCCTTCTGATCCATCCAACTTATGATCTTCTTGAACCAGTTACGCCGATGGAACTCTTCGTAGCCTAACATCCCGCAAAGCGTTACTGGAAACAATAATTTTGTTTTACTTCAAAGAAAAAGGTAAATTGAAGTAAACTAGATTGTAAAAATGTTATCAAAAATAAAAAAACACATTAAATTCTTACAGTGTTCTAAAAATAAGTCTCTCGCAAAGAACCCTCTTCGTGCAATGTACACTGCCTCTCTGTACATGAAGGCGCAGAGCTGGTCCATGAGGGTATCGTCTTCAGCAACACTGGTCATGTAGCAACGACGCACTTGTCGCCGTAGCATTATGTTCAAAAGCCTACGAAAAAGCGTAAAGTAGTATCTAATTATTATCAAATTCATATCCGAAAGTTAGGAAAAATGGTTGATGATTCCTATTAAAAGAATCTCTTCTTTATTCGGTTTCGAATTGAGAGGGGAAAATGTTTTTTTTTACTAAAGTAACAAAATTGATATAAAAGCTACATATGATATTAAAAAGAAATTCACCTGTGAGTAAGAGAATATGATATCGAAGGTGTAGAGTGGATACCTTTATAACAATACTTGTCCGAACGACATGACTTCATTTCGGAGAAGTCTATTGGTTCCAACTCGTGTATAACCCGAGATAGACACACGTCTGAACAAAAATAAACAACAATTCAGATTTTAAAGGTCAAAATATACACATTTATTTAGTTGGCTATATTTGTCCTTTCTAGAAAAGTGAGTGTGTATAATGATTTAAAATAACATGTCTAACATTCTTCAAATTTATGTTATGAGAAGAGCACTCCTAATCTACCAGTAAATGTCTAGACTTCAAATAATTACCTGATGTTTGCATAACAATATGATACCCTATTGACGACTCCGTGAGCTGCGTATATTTCTCTCTGGGCATCGTAGTAGTGTCCATATCTTCGACGTATTCATGCATTTTGAAACTACTATGAAGCCATCTCTTTAATCGACCCTTGTTGAAACCACGTATTGAATATATTTGAGCACTATCATCTTTGAACATTCGTGATACTATGGAAACAATGTTTCAAAATTAGGACAGTTTATTTTCATGTATTATTTACTTTTAAATGCTTTTATTACATAATCGTCAGTGACTTGCAGTCGACTTGCGCAGAAAATCAAAGATGGCCACCAATATACACTGGGTAAGCAGATCAGCTAAGAAGACCTTGTCCCCCTTAACACAATATTCCCAAATTTTTCTAATGTATTACTATAGTGTTGAAAGTGTAAGTTTTTCGCTATTTATTCCTAATTAACTTAATCAAATGGGAACTATTTAATACATAACGATATCTTACCTCTGAACTCTAAATCGTCCCAACCATATTTGTAATTAATATAAATGTAATGTGAAACAAGATTTTCACATTTGCTTATTATATTCCTCAATTTGTTCGATTCTAATTCTGTAATCTTGGAGCCATATTCTTGAAGGGTTCGTTTTAAAAGGGCTATGAATAACAATAGTATGATTTACTAAATTTATGTAATACAAAAATGTGATTTCAATTTAACATCATTAGATTAAGTTATCGAATATTAAACAATGCCACCAGTGTCCTATATTTTTAAATTGCTTTTACCATTATCACTGATAAAATAAGGTTAATTTGTAAATGTTAACAGGCTATTATATTTTAGTGTGTAAGAAAATCTATAAAATACTCTTACATTTCACGAAAAATGCCCCCAAGGCTACATTCCCGTCAGTTTTATTTGGAGTTTTATTAAAATAGAAAACTGTTCGTCTTAAACTTAGGATGTATAATTTAAAATCATCTATATTTGGTAAGTTATTTTCAATTGTTAAATATTTGGTAGGAAATTTATCACCACTGTATTGATTAATCGAACTCTTTGTATCGTTTAAAGTTAATTTAGTCACCTTGTCACATTTTACATTAACGAGAAATAAAAAAAAGAACAGTCGTGTATTCACCATTTTAGTGTAAAATGCATCTACGTAGAAGAACATTATATAAACTTAAAACAGTAGCCGTGTCGAATGCAATTCGAATTATTAAGATTAATTTCATGTTACTATTTCACAGCCTTGCTTAGAATGAAAAATATGCAACGAAAGGATTTTTCACGTCGAACCTATGAACAGTATTACGTTGACGCCACGCTATTTCATCCTTGTGAAAGATATAATCTTACTAATATTGTAAATGCGAAAGTTTAGATGGGTGTTTGTTATAATTTGTAGCCTAAACTGCTTATAATTATAATTGAAGAAGCATATATTTTATTAACAACAATTAGGTTCCTAGCTGGAAAGCTATCCAGCTGTTGTAATAAAATGTTATTAAATATTGGCATTACAAGTATATGAGTCTAATTAACCACTTTATGAGCTATGTTTAGGCTTGAATTAGAAATACAGTATTATTTTATACTACTTTAAAAAAATAATTGAGGCAGATATTAATTTTATCGATTCATAAAGTGTTTCTACGAATAGTAAACTCGATTTTTCATCATATTTTTGCTATTTTATACTCTTTGTCTTTGACATGTCAAAGTCAACTGTAATTGACATAACCAAACGTCAATCGTAAATGAGTGACAGCGATAACATTTTTAATCATTTCAGAATAGCTATATTTTACCACGAAAGTTTACAGTAACATATTATTTCCGATTTAATTGTGGTCTTAGTTAGTTAATAAATAAAAGTGGAAGATGGAAATATCATTTAAGGGAAAGCGTATACTAGTTACCGGCGCTGGGCAAGGTTAGTACATTATCCATTTACTAAACTCTTCAGGCTACAAATCTTTTAAAAACAATGAATTACATGGCATATAATCAAAACTTGTCTTTCATAGGCATTGGACGAGGTATTGCAGTTGAACTTTGGCGTGCCGGAGCAAACATAGTAGCACTTTCGAGAACAAGATCGCATTTAGAAACCTTACAAAGTGAATATCCATCTATCGATATCGTTGATATGGATTTAGCCGATTGGGAGAAAACTCGGGCTGTTGTTGAGTCTCTAGGGCATTTTGATGCATTAGTGAACAATGCAGCCATTGCCATTTGTGAACCATTTCTTAATTGCACCCCTGGAGACTTCGACAAGTAAGTTATTATAAAATATATATTATATAAAATATATATTAAGTTTAAAATTCATAGGTTTACTACATTTATGTGTTAATTTTCCAGGACCTTTGATATCAATGTAAAAGCTGTTCTTAACATAAGTCAAGTGGTTGCACGGAAAATGGTAGAAAATAAAACTCATGGAGCGATTGTTAATATATCTTCTCAAGCTTCAAAGGTGAGTTATTTGTTTAAGAAATATAACAGTGCTCACATACTTAAATAATTTTATTTCATCAAACTTTCAACAAATTTTACCTTTAGTTGTGAACTGTTCAAAAAAGAATATTCTAATGATGCATTAAATTCAAATAAATTGCATGTTCTGCTTAATTTCATTTGTAATATTTACTAAACGGTAAAGTTAAATTGTATTTCACACTAGAACTCTTTTGTACTTGCAATAAAATGTTATCAGTTGTGTTCCACTTTTCCTGTTCAATAAAGTTCATTGACTTTGCAATTCCACTTTGAGATGTTTACCATAAATAATATTGCTTACATAATGGATAAAATAGTATTTTATGCAATATGAAAACAGTGGAAAATTATAGCTATGATAATAATATATTTTATTCTACATTGTAATAATAAAAGTATGTTAAGCAAATACTAGGAAATAAAATAGAAAAGTCCACTTGCTTAACAATGAATACTTACAATAAATTGCTAGTAATGAGTTTGTGTCTATTCTGGTGCTAGGCAATGCAGTTTGTCCACTATTTCAATGAACAATATTTTAAACACATCTTTCAGGCAGCTTTGAAAGACCATGCTATTTACAGTGCATCAAAAGCCGCACTTGATGCATTGACTCGTGCAATGGCATTAGAACTCGGCCCACATGGAATCAGAGTGAATGCAGTCAATCCAACAGTTATAATGACAGCTATGGCTAAAGTTGGATGGTCAGATCCAGATAAAGCTGCGGAGATGAAAGCTAAAATACCATTGGGAAGGTATGCATATTTTTAAATTTATATCTTACTAGCTTTTGCTCATGAATCCATCCACTTGATATAATAAAAAAACAAAAGTAAATAGCCTATGTATTCTTCCGTATTATCCTCTACTTCTATGCCGAGTTTCATCATATTTTGGTCCTAATAGTTTTTACTACCTATCTTGGGAGAGTATAAGTTTTTATGCACTTGCTATCTTTTGCCTGCAACAAGCACCTTTTTCCACACAGAATTAAAAAAAAATTATAAGTAGACTATGTTCTTTCAGACTATATTATACATCTTTGGCCAATTAAGATCCATTTAGTCATTCTAAACATTTGCATTTTAAATACTAAAAAGAAGTAAGATATATAGGTATCAGCTGCACCTTGAAAATAGATTAAGAATAAATTTGAGTAAGATGGTAGCTGATATAATTGGCTGATGACATTATAATGTGACAATAAAATAAAATAACTGCTTTTTTCAGATTTGGAGAAGTATCAGAAGTTGTGAATGCTGTAGTTTTCTTGTTAAGTGAAAGATCTAGTATGATTAATGGTGTTGAATTGCCTATTGACGGAGGATTTCTTGCTACATAATCCTGAAGGGTGTTTTAATTATTTTTTTTATAAGTTGTAATGGTTATGTATCTGATTTATGGTCAATGTTCCAAGATCTGTTAATTTGATTTGTTTTTATGTATTTTTTAAGTACCAAAGAATGTTTTGTTGCCTAATTAAATACATTTTTGATAATGTTTAATATGTTTTTATGTATTTTTATTTTTAAATAAAACTAGTATTAACCCTTAATTCGAGAGTGTGACGAACAACAAATTGGAAAAAATCCACTAACTAGATTAGAGAAAAATACGTGAGATTTTAGTGTTGCTACATGTTTTTTTTTTCTACGAAAACACTCTCGAATTAAGGGTAAGATAAAATTTTTTATTTTTTGTAGTGTATAATTATTTTGACGAATGGTATAAATATCCAGTGATTTTAATATGTATATTATGTATGTTCCTATAAAAAAATTGGTAAATCACATTTTGAATAACTTTAAAAATTTGGAATAATGAAAATGCGAGGCTTAGATTAGCAATATATCATAATCCTATATTTTTAATACTAATGTAGTGCTTTAATTTGTAAACATGAAATATTACATTAAAAATTATAATTCATATGCACATATATTTTAAAATGTCTATCGTGTTTAATCACTTTTTAACTTCTAAAGTTCAGTCAAAATATCTTTAATAACCGAAATTTGACTACGGCATATGTAGGCCATATTTAAATAAGTTTGTGAATAAAGGCGTTGTGTTCAAGTAATTTGTTTCATTTTAATAAGATTTTTCTTCATAGCATAATAATAGTATAGTTAATAGAAATTTAAATTCTTTGATTTAAAATTTAACTTCGATATTCGTTAACTTTTCTAAAATTTAACATTGTCAGTCTCTGTCCACTGGCTGTCATAAGCGTTGTTAAAATCATGGTAATATAATAAAAGCAAATGTTTAGATGGATGGATGTTAGAGTTTGTAGCCTAAACGGCTGAAAGGATTTCGATGAAATTTGCTATAGGTGTAGGGGATAGTCGCGAAGAACACACATTTTATTCCATGCGGACGGAGTCGCGGGCGAAAGCTAGTTTACCATTAATATATTTTATTGACAACTATAACAAAACATTAATACAGATAACATATAAGACACACCGACCACTCTGATTATTGATAAAAGTGTTTACAGTTAATTTGATAAGGAAATAGTCGTGCAAACAATTTACAGTGTTGGACACGTCGTTAATGAAATGGACAAATATTTCGAAGAAAAACGAATACTGGTCACAGGAGGATGTTCTGGTAATTTAATATTCGCGTTTTTGACACGTTACAGTTAAATTGTAACATACGTCATTTATCGGATCATTCTATAACTAATACTGACCTTTCACAAGTTTTTATAACTTGGTATCCACCTTTATGATAAATCTAGCTTTGGCCCTCAGGAAATAAAAAAAAAAACGAAATTAAGTAGCCAGTGTTTTTCCAGACTATCCTCTACATCTATGCCATTTTTCATTGAGATCCATTCAGCAGTTTAAGCTACAAACTCTAACATTCAACCGTGTTAACTTCCACAATTATAGTTACAAGTTTTGTCGCTAATTTTTAGGTATCGGAAGAGGTGTAGTTTTAGAACTGTGGCGATTGGGTGCTAACGTCGTTGCATTGTCACATCAGGCTGACAATCTATACAAATTGAAGTGCGAATATCCGTCGATAGAGACCGCCTGTGTCGATGTCCGTGATTGGGATAGAACTCGTCAAGTCGTTGATTCCCTCGGTATATTCCATGGATTGGTCAATTGCGCGGGCGTGGGATTAATGGAGCCGTTCTTGGAGTGTAAACCGACAACTTTCGATGAGTAAGTACGAAAGTAACAACAGTATTTCTCTAATATTTTAACATTTTGCCACTCCATTAATTCGATTTTTCTTTTACTCTGCAGATCTATTGCTATCAACACAAAAGCTATCCTCAACATATCTCAAGTCGTCGCGAAAAAAATGATTGACAATAACATCAAGGGTTCTATAGTTAGCATATCTTCACAAGCTTCAAAGGTACGGTACTAAACAGTACAGAGTTTTAAGCTGAAGGTCATTCAGGTCGTTCGGACATTTCATCTTAATTTTAATCCGAAGTATTGACAAAGGTAGCTCAATTGCTTTTTAGTATTTTCATTTTGGGTTTGGAACTAACCCACTAAAATCGACAATCAAGGCTTATTCAAGAGAATTCGAATTTTAGAAGCGTCTTCGCTGTTCCACTTACAACAGATATAATATTCCAGGCGGGTTTCCACGACCACGTGGCATACTGTGCGTCAAAAGGCGCTGTTGACGCGATGACACGTGTAATGGCCGTCGAACTGGGACCGCATGGTATACGCGCTAACACAGTCAACCCCACCGTCGTACTGACGGAACTGGGCAGAGAAGTGTGGGCGGACCAAACTAAGGCAAAGCGGATGATGTCTAAAATACCACTTGGCAGGTAATATAAATAATTGAGTTCGTCTAGTCGTACTAAAGATTTATGTGGAGCACCTTGTGGAAAAAAAAATGTTCAGGTTTGAGCTGGAGGATCATTTAAGGTGATGTCAGTCACAAAAATGTTAATGACAAAAACAAAGAATATGTCACTTTTTACGGAATTAAATTAGCTAGATGTTTCTCGATGGACCGATCGATGTAGATTGCCAAAATGTTGAAAATCAAATAGGTACAAAATACTACCCAATACCCACTTAGAGACACAGGTATTGATTCCGTTATTCCAGCAGTTAGTATTGTGATTGTGTCGATTTTTTACTTATTAGTTTTAATAAAATAGTGAAGGACGATGATTTTTTAATATTTGAATTTTGGTTATTAGATATTTAAGTTAAAATAAAACTTTTGCAAATGACAGGACACATTGCAATTTGAATTGATCGAACGGGAACATAATTTCCCATTGGATAGATAAAAATTGATCCAATGGGAAAACTCCGATTGGGTCGATTGAATCGATCCACTGCTCGGCCCAACAGGAAACACCCAATTAGCTTGGAGTTTTATTCACGCATATTGAAACATTATCACAAACACAAAGCCTAGTCATAAATAAGATAAACTTATCACTAAAACAGAGTTAATGTTTTTATTAACCTTGTTCACTTTATCGTTCAATTATTAGAGGTGCGATAACTGAAACGTGTGTAAAAGAATCTTATTTTTTAATGCACATTCCTTTCTTTACTAAAATTATCAAAAAATGTGATTACTGTTAAAAAAGGAGTAGCCTAGCATGTTTCACATAGTATAATTGTTAAAAAGAGTTTTTTTAATTTTAGATTTAGTGAAGTGCACGAGGTGGTGAACGCAATAATATTTCTGCTAAGTGACAAAGCGAGCATGATAAACGGAGTCGAGTTGCCGATAGACGGGGGATTCCTAGCAACATAGTCATTTAAAAGAAATACGTGAAAAAAATAAAAACTTCCAAAAACTGTTTCAAATAAGAGATGCGTGATTTAATTTGAAAGTATTTCACTACTGAAAAGTATTTCAAATCTACTAAAACATTAAGGAACATTAAAGGATTGTAAATAAAAATCGTCAAGTTTCATTTTACCTGGTTTATTGTGCCAAAGGAATTAATACATACTGGACATAGAAAACAATGCAAGCATTAACAATTTATATAATAGAAGCATAATTATATGCTAAGAGCTATAATTGCCAGCACGGGACAGTTGTACAACGAACACATTCACGTAAACAAACATCGGTACTATGTCACATTAATAGGATAACTTCAAATATGGAGGGAACTGTCGCCTCCTCATCCCGCACCTTAAATACAAGTATTTATAGATCCGATAGTAGCTGTATCTCTATTCTCCATACATCCTACAACTAAACGATTCGTTCCCTCCCTCCGTCTCCGGATAACGATATCGGCGTCTGTACATATAGGCTACACAAAAACAGAGCCAATCAAATTATAATATGCGTTAAAATAGCCAAATCATGACTATACTACCACGACGCATATGCAAAGATGCCACTAGCCAAAACAATCGATAAATCTATAATCATTACTTCCATATAACAGATCGCGTATCAATTTATATGTTAATATAATGGCAAAATAGTAGAAATAAAGTATATATTTACAAATCAATGCTAATGTTATCATTTAAAGTAGTGTAATATATAAAATTTTTATTTTTATTTGTTTTTCACAAAAACCAGTGACAATGTTCAATGACAAACGCGATCCGTCACCTCGATGACGTCACGTGGACAATGCAGCCGTCTTTGCATACGCGGCGTGCACTAAAACAGTTATGTTATATCTAATATATTGTAAAAAACAGTGTCGGCCTTAATATAACTTACAATTATTATATACAAAATTAAATTCATAAAGTCTTTCGTCGGTTAAAGCGGACACTGACTCCGTAGAAGCCGTTACAAGCGTCCTTGTTCTTTCCTTACACTGGCGAACACTTATCTACACAAACCCATACTCGATACTTGCCCTAAAATATCCCACGAGTTAGTAAAATAATATCATAACATATTTTGGTTATTATACAAAGAAAAAAGCTATAACGACCGCATTTATCTAGGATAACTCAACTTCAATCCCGTTTGAACTGAATCCCGACCACTTGGACAGATAATGGCGGTAGTTCAAAACTCACGAAGATTATTGCCATTTGAAACCAGTTCTCATTTGAAAATGGATTCACCGACATTATTCGTCGCTTAATTAAATATTAAAATATACAATCTAATTTTACACGGCCTATAGAAAATCTAAATCGAAATTATACATAAAATACATGGATATGTTAGTTTTTCACAAAATTTAAAATACTGACTGATGAGTTTATGTGAACAGAAAAAAAGTATTAAATTATTTTCATATACGTTTCTAAAGAACGCATGGAAAAAAGTCACTAAAATAAAAAGAAAATTATAGTTATGATTCTTAAAATTTCATTTTATCCAGTATAGCTTAACTCTGCAGTCACTAAAAAAAATATTATTTACATAGGATTATTGAACCCGATTCTCAGTCATATCTGAGATGGATGGTTCGGATTGTACATAGTTCAGTTCAAATTGGCGCGTGGGACCTGATGACGTCACCACGAAATCACGCACCAATTTGAGTTAAACTAACTTTACCCTAGGCGTTGTATTAACGGTCACATCGATGCGAACATGTGATAGATTTTACATAAGTATACAACAATTAGATTCTAATATTAATATTTACAAAAAAAAATATTACTTTCAAGTTTAGAATATTCAAATTAAAAAGAAAAAATCCAATCTTGTTTATACCCTCGCCTTGCAAGTAGGATGTAGTACACTACAGTAGTTATACTGAAGGCAAAGATTTTGGTAAACAATATGAGATCACAGTTAAAAGATTCGAAATAAAAAAGTATAAGAGGAATGTTTATCCCCACAAAACGGTAGTGTGTGACAAACAAAAATATCGTATAAATTATCTCGACAAATAAATTGACTGATGCACATTAATTTCAAATATTAACTTTAATTTTATATTTTTTCTATCATAGTATCGAAAAATTCGCCATATCCACAATAACTTTACTATAATAAGTGTACAAAATGGATATATTATGCTTGTGTAGAAACACTTATCTATTTAATTTGTGGCAGTGATCGAGACATGAAATTCAGCATCGGAACATGTTTCCCACATTAAAACTTTGTCTTTGCTACCTTAGAAACATGTTTACAGCTTATAAACACGGAAGACAAATTTTAACATAATACCAAAAATTACAAAAAAGAACTAATTTGTATTTTCTTCATGAACTTAATGTTTGTTAGTTATAAAATTGCACATTTTAGTCACAAAAAAACGTATCGTAACATTTAAATCGATGGAATAACTAAGTAATAACATTTTGGCCTTAGTGATTATTTACTATCGAAAAACACTCTTGGTGTAAATATATTGCCATAACACAATCCGATGCGAATCAGATAAATGCATTATACACAAAGATTTTAATGCATACATAGGCCGCTACGTCCTGCCACGTCCATGCGAGTGAATGACTTACAAATGAATGAATGACTTGTTGCTGTCACATAAGATGATTTGGCAATTTTCACTTGTCAAATGTCGAAATGCTCAAACATTTATAAATATCTGATTTTTGTCATTACTGTTTACAGGAAAATAAAAAGAAAAGAAATTAATTAAAAATATAACTTACACGAAAGCATAAACTCAATGAGAAATCAAATTAAGATGTAAAACACGATAATGTTCGATGTATTTTATTCGAAAGAAAGGAAATTTTATACTCATGACATAAAAAACATTGTGGCAATTATTACATTTTATTATAGTAGTAACAACCATACGTGTTCGTAATGACCTATCTATGTATTTAAATCTTTGTTAACATCTACTACACCTAAGCCAATCGGCGAGACCGATATCGCATTACCGGTCTCAGCCAACCACCGCTCTCGTACCTTAACATCTAAATATAACTGAGCGTAAAGTACAATAGATGCAATAGGCCTAATTACTAGCTATGCTTAAATGAGTCACATTTATAAACGACACAGTTCAGCCCTCACTCGTTAAGTCTAAAATTAAATAATTTACAATATATGGATAGTTTCAATTTGAATGCGTACAAAATTTGTTTTCGATTAAGTTTAGCACTTACGAGGTGGTATATTTGGCTTGTGGCGTGGGGGGGGCTGGTAGGGCGTGGCGCGGGGGGCGCGGGTGGCGCGGGGGCGCGGGCGGCGCGGGGGCGGGGCGCGCCGCGGGCCCGGCGGGGGCTATCTCTGCGGCGCCGGCGATGGGACTCACCGCCACTCGGAGATGGCCGCCACCGTCGTGCTGGGCTGCCCCGCCGCGCCCGCAGCTGCAACAAACATCACTCTTAATATTAATATACTAGCTTTCACCCGCGACTTTGTCCACATAGAAATAAAAGAACAAAAATAACAGTATATATGTTCTTTCAGACAAATTTCTAGACCTGTCAAATTTAATCGAGATCCATTCTGCAGTTTAGGCAACTGACTCTAACAAACATCCATTCATCTAAACTTTCGCATATATATTGGTCAGAATTAAGATATTAAAGTATCTGTTCCTGTGCAAATTCATCAATTATTTAACAAAATTGATTGCTAACATCAAAATTCAAATTACAATGAATGCCTTGCTGGTTGAGAATTTTAGGTAACTATGGTGGTATGCCTCGTTGTTTTTATCTCTTTCTCGAAAAACAATTTGTTCCAATTTACCAAACCTCGGTCTGTAGCATTAAAAAAAATATATGGCTAAAGGGTTTCATGAGTATGGGGCTTTTTAGTAGTAAAACCAATATTCAAAAATATGTCATGATGGTTGACATCCCGCATAACAAATAGGCAAAAAGCTAAAACTAATCTAGCTTGTAGAGCTGTCTTTAATACAATTATTAAGCCATAAAACGTACTTGTTTTTCATATAAATGTTGAGTAGTAATAAATGTTGAAGTATAGACAAGAGTATTGAATGTTCTACTCACTGGTGTCGGGCTCCTGGTTCTGGTCGTGGCGCCTGAGCGTGCGGTCGTTGCCGCCGGGCAGGTAGTTGCCCCGTGGACCTCCAACACACACAAATAATACACATTTTAAGCATCAATATGACACAAACACGGACAAGTGTCATATTACATAAAGCTTAATATAATGGAAATGAGAAATTATACTAATATATTCATAGTTCATTATTTATGGGTCTATTTTGAAAAAAATCAGTGTAATTAATAAATTATTACTAATAAATTAAACACACTAATATGTCTGTTTGTCGTAAATCGCTGATTATAAAGACAGGATTGTCAAATATTCCTACAATTATTCATTTGTATTAAATTCGATTGTAAACAGTTGTTAGTAGCTTTACATTTTAGTGGAATTTTATAAAAATCCACTGCTAATCTTATTGGTATAAAATTTGCTAATTTTTTTTAAAAGTTACTATAAAAACTCTATGAATTTGTAAAATGTACAGATTGGTATATGTTCTCACCAAATTTGAGCATATTCCAGTCGAAGACGTAGTCGTATGTGAACCCTTGCCGATGGAAGAGAGTGCGGAACAGCTGACGCAGGTGACTGTAGTCGGGCCGCTCCTCGAAGCGCAGTCGCCGGCAGTACTTCAAGTATAATTGGAACTCGATCGGATGGTTCTGCGCAGTTACAAACACATTTAACATCACCTGTCTGTTTCACTAAGAATTATAACAAATAAGACATTTAAAAAAGATTCAATTGACTATATAACACTCTGGTAATATGAATACAATATGAACACTTTACTCTTTGGGCTACAAGACATAATGAACTTTTATTTATGTGGGATGTGAGTGCGAGTTTCCGAACGAAGATGTAAGAGTGAATGATTGATTTTGACTGACGTATGGAAAGACAGAGTGAATGCAGGAAGGAGTGCAAGAAAGACGTGTAATAAGACGGAAAAAACAATAGTGAAGAATTTTTATCTTGTAAAAAGTAGGGAAGGGTGAAAAATAAAGCTTTAAACGAAGACGGCTGTTTGTTTTACCGCCCCAACCCTACATTTATTTAGTCAAAATTGGATATAAATAGGCATAATTAAAATTGGCAGTTATTAATATAATAATATTAATATGTTTCCGAGTCTTAACAAAAAATATATATGTTATGTAAGCTAGATATAAGTAGGGTATATAATTAGTACTTAAAGTAACTAACCACAATGATCAACAACTTTCGAAATAAAATGTATTATTTATAGTAACCCTCCATGATAATCTAGACTCCAATTTGTTAGCGCAATTATTAAATGCAAAAATCAAGTTTTATTGACAAATCCCTTGTCAATATAATAAAATGATAATGTTAAAACTAATTAGTGTAATTATTAAGTCAGATAATTCCAGTATAATAACCAGCTAGTTCATCACTATGCTGAAGGAAAGTGAGTTATTGCATTCATTAATAATAACTGTCAATAGTTATTATTTTGTATTTAAGTACTGAAGATTATTTCCTTCGTTATATAATACTAGCTTTCGGCCGCGACTCCGTCCGCGTTGAAGTAAAAAATATAAAAGCAAGTAGCCTATGTGCTCTTCCAAACTATCCTCTACATGTATACCAAATTTTAATGAAATTCATTCAGCCATTTTGGCTACAAATTCCAACAAACATCCATCCTTCCAAAGCAAGAGGGCAAGGCAAAGGGTAGACCTGGCATAGATATGATCTGGAGACACTCAAGATTTTTCTAGTAATAAAGGGATATAAAGGACTTACTTTACATAATTCATCAAACGGCGTGGACAATTTCTTCTCGGATATTCTTTCGTATTTCTGTCGTTTGGTGGCAGCTTTGAGCCCCTGCCAGGGCAGGCTGCCGCGGTTGAAGTACATCAGCACGTAGCCCAGTGACTCCAGGTCGTCGCGACGCGACTGCTCGATGCCAAGGTGCGTGTTGATGGACGCGTATCGCGCCGTGCCTGCAAATATTATCACCATCATCATCACCAGCTCACTACAAGTCCCCATTGGGGGGAGCAAAGTCTACCTTCACTTAGAGGTGACTAGGTCATAGACAACCACATTGACCCACAATGTGTTTGTTTTTACAAACTATAGTCAACCCTTATACTCCTATTCAATAGAAATCACTAATTACAACAAACTAATACAAAGATTTTAACCTTTATAAGGTGGTATTCACAGAATTATTAAGAACAGATAAGTAATACTATACTAGTAATTATATTTCTAACATTATTATAACTAAAAATAAACAAGATAAGTTTATTTCCAGGCACATGAAATTTAAATGATACAATCAATTCTTACCTGTTAAGTTTTTGTTTTCTCTGTATGGTATATGCTGCTGGGTCCGGGGATCTTTGTACTTCTTTGCTAAACCAAAATCTATTATGTACACTAAATTTCCTTTTTTACCTAATCCCATGAGAAAATTATCAGGCTTTATATCTCTGTAAAAGAAAATTTTAATTACATTACATGTGGTACTAGTAATAACTAAATATTATATTATTTTTTAAATACATAAGTTACAAACTAGATATAGTTAATTGCATACTATGTAACATATCATTATAGTGATGCTTTAAGTTAAAGATGCCACAATAATTTATTAATGTAAATAGGTTAGTTCTTATCTTTAACCTTATAACTAGTGAGTTACTATGTTCCCAACAAATGCTTGGCGTATGATTTATAAAATGGACTTTATGTTCTCATACCTATGAATGAAATTCCTGTAATGTATGTCTTCGATGCGGGTGATAAGTTGATCTGCTAGTAGGAGAACAGTCTTGAGAGAGAAACGGCGAGAACAGAAATTGAAGAGGTCCTCTAGAGAAGGACCTAACAACTCCATCACTAACACATTGTAGTCGCCTTCTGAGCCACACCATTTTATTGCAGGGATACCAACTGTGAGACAAAAAGAAATTGTTAATCAGATATTTGGCAGAGTGAAAACAATTTATAACTGATTTTGTAATTTGGTTTATAATGGTAAAGTCAACACAATGACAAAAAAAGTTTAACAAATAAAATCACATCAAGTAGTATAAGTTTTATTTAGGGCATTTTTGAACACCCTAAAAAGGTAATTAAAAGGTGCCCAGTGGTTTAAAGACAGGAATTAATATTGTGGTCAGCAATGACATGGACTAGTTAAATTTAAGCCTTTTCACTCTTTGGATGGATGGACTGGTTTCGAATGTTCATATTTTTTTCTATATTCCTACTATAGACATTTACTTGAGATGTTCTTAATACAATTTAATAGTATCAAATTGAAACCTTATACTTTGTGAAGGTTAATTATATAAACATGGAAGAAAGTTCTCATACATTTACTTTGTAATTTCTTTAATTATAGTTTATTATTTGGAAAAAGATCATTACTGAGAAATGTTGTAATTTGGGATTTTATGCTAACAATGTAAATTGTGTAATTGACTCTTTTCACCATAAATTTGTATTACAACAGGACAAGTTTGCCAAGGACAAACAGACTGCAACTTTCAAATGACTTAGACAAGCTATTATCTATATTTGATAAACATGATTACTCTATGCAAATACAAAAGCACTCAAACAACTAATAATAACTTATTTGTATTAGTTTGTACATACAATTTCTGGATTTGTATGTACAAAACATTGAAGACAGATCCAGAAATGATTCCGACCTTTAATGTATCTCTTTGTATTGCAGAAGTGAGTCACCTAATATTAAAAAATTTCATGACTAAAATACATGTTTATTTAAGTCTACAAGTTAATTGCAAAGAAATTATCGATGTTGTTAATGCAATATTTGGCATTGAATGTCAGAAAGCTAAATTTCACAACACTGTTAAAAAAAGTAAGAAGCATTGACACTTTTTGTCACCCTATCCAAGTATGACAATATTAATTTAGTTTTAGTTAAGTTTTATGGCTACATCATGATGGAAAATGTTAAATTGTTTACTGTTTATGTTACAAATCATTGCTGCTGAATCATTTATTGACATATTATTACAATAGTCACATAAACATTATGTATAACACATAAATAACAAGCATTGAGGATTACAACAAATCATTTAGAGAAAAGTTTAAAGATATCTCATACTTTGTATGATACCGTACAATTTCTACCAATTGAATATAATACTTACTACTTATTGATAACTTTGACTTAGTTATTACTCACCTCCTCCTTGCATTAATTTGTAAAATTTACTCTCTATGTGTAACTGTGGATGTCTTGTTTTTATACATTCTAGTTTGATTGCAACCTCCTCCCTTGTCACAATGTTGGTTCCTGGAATATATTTATATGTGGGATTAGGGTTAACATCTTAGTTTTCATTTAGTTTATTATATAAACAGGTAACAGATAAACTGTATTTACTGTCAAATTATGTGAATATGACAAAGCTGTTTTGTTAAACACATTTCGTAGGATAACGTAAAAGAATAATTGCGAAGCTTTGTTAAGAGCTATTTAAATCCGATAAGATTAAAGTGTATGAATATAGGTTATAAATTTTGTTGTCCTTGCTTAAAGGTTGTGTGATTGACGTAGGAACTATCTTTTGATCTTTCAATGAAATCATTGATTGTTTCATGAAACATATTTTTTTAATGTTTTACAATTTATAATCATGGTCATAACACAACGGTGAACAAAACAACCAATGAAATCACATGTATTGAAGTCAAAAATTTCAACCATTTATAAAGCCAAGTAAAACTATTGCTGCAACAGTCAGTTCTATCTCTAGAATACAGCTCAGCTGACAAAATGGAATGGCTATTTCGAAACAAAAAAAATTGCAGCTGGGCTATACTGTACCAATGACCATCTTTCTTTGTTTACAAAGATATCCTTTAATACTTACCTAAATAAATATCCCCGAAGGATCCAGAGCCAATTTTACGACCCAGTCGGTATTTATTACCGACACGCAGCTCCATTTTGATATTACAAATGAGACGAAATAACTATAATATCACTGACCACCAAATCATTACAGGACGGCCATATTTGCGATAGACGCAGATCTTTCTTTAAATGAATTCTGTTGTATTTGACGGAAAATAAAGAAAACTTTGAGTGTGTGTTATTCAATCTTTTAGTATCAATATACTGAAACTTGAACAAGTAATAACTTTCTTTCACACAAAATTATTCAGAAAAGTAGTTCTATTCTACACACGCATCTACGAGAAATTTTTGTTTCGTTATCGTTCGTTCTTCATTTGTATGGTTCTCACAGATATTGTTCTAAATTTCATTCACTCATTCACTCTCATCTGTTTGTTGGTGTTACACTCCTACAAATTTAAAATAATTAAATACCATAGACACAATGCAATAATAAAAAGTTACGTGTGTGCGAAAATCTTTTGCTTTATTGTTTTTATTTTTCTATTAATTCAAATTCTATAGAGCAATTTAAACGTGTCCCGGGCACGACTGAAAAGGAATAGTAATCATTTAGCGACTATAAGTACGAAGATAACTCCAACTTAATTACATTTTTAATTCTCTGTTTTATTCCAATCGAACTCAATCAAAATGTGGTGGAAATCCTAAATAAAATAAAAAAGTATTTTACTTTCACCTATTAACATATTTTCCAAGACACTAGGTAGGGAACCGGGATTCAGTTGTACATTCAATGTTAAGAAGCACTAGATTCATTTTTAAGAATCAAATGATTTGCTTTGTTATTTTATAATTTTCTATCTTTCTACATAGCATAATAACTCTATAGAGAACAACAACAAATTAGAAGAGATTAGTGTCTGGCACCGAACAAGGAAGAGGTATAACTGTGAGGCTAGCACTATTTAAAAGAATCGACTATGAAATGTAATATTTGTAGGTCTACTTAAAGCCATCGGGCTGTACGAATGTTATATAATTTTTGTTCATATCTATACGAATATTTTCTCACAAATCGTGATAGGCCCACTATTTTTCGCTCAGTGCTTATATAATATTCTGGTAAATTATTGTGGACTTTAATACTTACTAAAAATTCAAGGTTCCGTTAGGATTATGAAAGTGTCCCCGTCACATTGAGAAGAGGCTGGTTCGGACGTATTCAGTTCAGTAGGAGCATTGTCGTGCCTTTAGATAAACAAATTGTTAACAATATTGATATCTAGATCTGCTTGATATTCCGAAAAAACCTATTTCTATGTCTATTACATGAGACAAGCATAAAGATTAAAGTCTAGACGTAGACAATAGAAGGTGTCTTTACATCCCGTTAACCCAACTTTGGTCCCTTTTCCTACACATTCTTTTTCTTATTAGAAAGGATGGGAAGGGAAATTGGATTTAACGGCGGAAGAGACGCATAGGAAGAGGAAATATCCTCTTTATATGCGTCTCCTTCTCCGTCGATTAAGGGTAGGCAACGCATCTGTATATGGGAAGCGGTCGCTTCGCCATTTTGTCGGATTCAGATGGTCGCTTTTCTCGTTTGCCACCTTTTATTATAAAAAAAACCCTTCGAATATTTATTTTCGTGTCCATTCAAGAGGATTTGAGACAAACGAAGTGCCAAAAATGAAGATTAAATTTTAACCGTTTAAACTGTCATTTTAACCGTAGGTTTTAAATTACGTTGCTTACCCAACACTTCATACAAAAATTGTGAAAAATACAAAAGTGAAAAGGGGTAGTTAAAACTAATTGTTTAATTGAATTGTCTACGAACACAATTTATTATCGTAAATTCACACACAAATGTTTTGTTGGTTTATATAGAACATTATTCCAAAATGTTGTAACACACATAATATCATTAAGTAATTATAGTAATCTAAAATATACCTTCATTTCACTTTAGTAAACATAATATAAAAAAATCATTTGCTATAGAAATAAAATATGGTAACTTGAGATTTCTTTAACGGCTTTCTCCACGCAGAATTAATTAAATGCAATTAAACTGATAACGTATAATTAAAATTTTATCATTCTTTCATGTTGCCTTTGACAAAAATAAAAAGAAACGCTAATAGTAATTTGTATCTATGTTTAAACATTTTATATTTCAAGGGTTAGGTACATTTAAACTTTTATTTATTACGTTGACTAAACATCGAACGGTTTCTTGGCACCAAGAGAGAGATCATTTTAACATAAAATTCGGCATTTATATTATTATTTATAATGGATTTGAAGTTAGGAATGTGTTTTCTTTTTTCAATTATACTACTTTATCTACAACGGCTAGTATTTTCTACTATTTGAATTTTCACATTAATATCTGCAATCTAAAATATGTACGTCGTTACATTATTTACCGTAATAATAATGCAATAATTATTCTAAATGCATAGATATGTAACCTAGGTTTTATTTTAGTTTTAGATATACATATAACCTAGGTCATATATCTATGGTCATTAGCTTATAACTACGTAATAATATCATTACACAATGTAACTAATTGTTTTTTCCATGGATATTGCAGGTCAAAATTTAAATGATTATAAATCATAAAAAATCTTATATTAAATAACGCAACTGAGAGGGGACATATTGTTTAAACATTACGTAGCAATTTGCGATATAGCCTAAATTTCCATTACTGAAACACTAGTAAAAATAATAAACATTAGAGTGGGATGACATTATGTACGGGTGCTTCCACAATAAACTACGGATAGGGAAATCTGGTATGAAACGGTAACTATTATTTTTTTAATATCAACATTGTTCTTGAAATAAACCCTGGTTTCCATTATAACGCAAATTATAAAAAAAAAACATTTAAATTCGTCTATGGTACTAGTTATTCACATTTATCCTTATAAATTAGATCTCGGTGTCCATTGAGACCACGTTCGTCGGTAAAAATGTTTTCTATCAGCTAACTGAGAAGCAAACCGCTTGATGAAAAGCTTGTTGCAAATATTTTAATGGTACATGTACACGGTCTTTTACAATCGCTTATATAGTAACATAGTTATTATAATCAATATTTTATCACGAGTATTTTCTTAGGCTTTTACATGTAACTGTAGGCTCATGTACAGTGTACCAATAAAATATTTTAGATTTAACTTTAGGTTTGCTAGAGCTTGCCGACTTTATTCAGGTAAAAATGGCGCTGACGACTTTCGTCGCTTTGACATAAGTCAGATACTTCTTCTAGTGATCACCGGCGATGACTGCGGCTCCCGATCATTTACATCATTATTATTCTGCTCCATATCTTTGCTTAAAATGAACGGCGGCTCCACATTGTCGTCTGCGCTCGTGAATCTACAAACATTTTTTAAATAATTAAAAATAGAATACTGCAATCGTAGTGTTGCCAGTAATTTTTTTTTATTTTCTGTCATTCTATTATGGCTTGGCCAGTCACATTGCTTAATACTAGAAGATTTTGAGTAACGGATTGATTGCTTTTTTTCTCTATTTTGAACACATATACAGTCATAAATATAAGTTCTGCATCGATAAAAATAAATGTCCAGAAAAGTAGAATAACTTACAGGTAATAGTTTCCCTCGCCTCTTATCGTGCATATGGCATTAGTGAGAGCCTTCACATAATTTTTGGCTAGAGTCAAAGTTTCTATCTTTGATAGACTTCTGCTTACGTTTTGTACATGGGGTATGACACGCCGAAGATCCTAGAAGAACGACATTAATGATTAAAATGTTTGTTGCAACTTATAAAAATCTCATAAAAACGTTAATTAAACTTTACTTAGGATTACACCAAATGAATTTGTAAATAATTGCATAAAGCAACAAATTGGGAACATGTTTAATATAAAAAAAGTAATTTATTAAAAACTACTCATCTACAAATGAGAACGGCTCAAAATATTCAGCTTTTTCAATAATTTTTTTTCACTCACACTTTCGATCACTATCATTGTAAGATTTTCGAATTACCTCAAAGGCGCGGTTGAGTGAATGCATTCTCATTCGTTCCCGTTCATTGCTTTCGAGACGGCGTAGATTGCGTTCACGCGCTGAGTAACCGCGCCGCCGCCTGCCCGTGCTTGCAGGTGGACTGCCGACACTGGAAGCGGCTGCTGTTCGTCGCCGCTTCTTCGGACGGCGCACCAGCTCGTCGCTACCACTGCCGCTCTCGTACGACTCTGAAAAACGAACACTAATATCTTAATACCTTTTTCCTATGTTTTTCCGATTGATAAGAAGAAATTTTAGATAAGTTCGCTATAGTGAACCCTTCCGGATTACAAATGACTTAACTTGGATGCTTACATTTAAGGAAAATTAAAAAAATAAAATTAACCTCGAATTTTTGAATAAACTCAGCATGGACGTATTGTGATTGAGGATTGTAAACTTAGTATCCTATCCAGCAGAAAAAGAAAATGTAAATGTCCTATTCATTTATTATTCTTAAGCAAACGCAAAGTACGAAACGAAATAAAGTCAAAACTGTAATTTAAAAACTTAAAAAATGTTGCTACTGTCGATAGATGGCGCTGAATGTCCTACGCAGATTCATATTCATATCCAGTTTAATTAATAAATAATGTGGAGTTTTAATCGCATTTATAAAAAAAACATTACAGAAATTATAACGATTTTATAGGAGTATTGATTAAGAGCTTATAAAAATACCATTTTACTTGGCGTCGAAGTTCAATTCCGTTGTCAATTCGGCATTAATGTAAAAACACTTATCACGATTTGAAATTGCTTAACATGAAAACGTGCTTACGTGTTATTACTAATAATCCGTACAAACGCACTGTATGTACGAATATGCAGAATTTCAATAGTACGTGAGGTAGGTTACATCACAGAGAGCAGGCTGCTAACACGTTTTTAGATAATAATATCGAATATATCTACGTTGTTATTGTTCTAATCAGTTGACTGTAATATATGTTAAATTATAAAACCTAGCAATATCTTTTCTTCGATAATTTTGTTTAATCTTTACAACTGATAAAAAAAGTGCTACAAATAAGTAAAAAATGTTGCATTTTAATCTCAAATTATACTACCCTAACCCGTAAAAAAAAAATGATGAACATATTCATTGAATATCGCTAACATAACCTTCGTGTTGTTTTTATTTTTTATCCGAGATGTCTACAAAAAGGTATCTACTAATTAGCAAAGGTTAACGAGAATTAGATAATCGGATTTACTAAAGGGTACTAAGTAGCATTCAAAATTCATTTTTTAAATTCTCATGAAAACAATTTCTTTAAAAGTATCAATATTATGAAACAAAGGTCTAGTCAAGCTCAGTGAGTGGATCTTACCTTGATTTTTTTCCTTATTTATAACTATAGCTATTTGATGTAAAATTATTATTAAAAGCATTATTATCAAGTGTTCACGTCACTAGCCTCGTCGCCACGATATAGCTAGTCTTTACTACACGTAGACTGCGTCATAAAATACAAGCCCGAGCTTGTACAAAGTGACGTGTTTGTAATTACGTTTACGATAATATTCAAAAGAAGTAGGATACAAGTTTTGCTTTTCCTTTTGGACGTTTTAAATCTGAAGACTTGGCCTTTGTTCTTGTGATGTTCGAAAACTTATGACAGTGAAAAGTAACTACATATTTATATGTTAACCAACTATTAATACCGTTTGAGGCTCTCAAGATATTTAACTATTAATAAATGCTGACGTCACTTAATCCCCACGAAGCAGTTTACGTAGAAGTGACGCGATATTAAAATAAAGTAATAAATTATTACATAGACCAGACGTTCATACTGCGTGGGAAGAGATTACTGAACTTCACATCATACGATGTAAAGATACATGTATACGCGTGAAGTAGACTGATTTCTAACGTAGATGCCACGGCCCGGTTGGGCGAAGGAGAACACCGCGGGGTTTAGTGGGTAGTCCGGCCGGGATTAAGGCCGGGAGTCCCACACGAAACTGTCCCTGCTGCCTCCGCAGCATGGACGGTGAAGTGCGTAAATGCATTCCCCGCGACAACAAAAAAAAAAAAAGTAGACTGATTTCAATATTGGGTCTACTAAAAGCAATAGTTATTACTAGGACTAGTGCAATTTCGTTTTAAAAATTTAGATATAGCTGCGTCTGTTCATCATTTTTTATTTTCTGAAAATCATAAAACTGTTATATATGAAATTGTATAAAGACTAATCTTAATATTAATGATTTGGACAGTTCACTTTTGCATAAACCCGTCCCGAATGTAAATCAAATTATTGGCAGCCCTGTGCAAAGTGAGAGTAATGATTTGTGCAACAAGTTGGCTGCCCTGCCGCAGCCGCCAAGACATTACGTGAGGCGACTGCACGCTTCGGATACGATTTGCGTAAGATCTCTGATGCGGGCTAATCGATTTGTATGCTTCGCTTCGAATTATTGTAATGCTTATCAGCTTCACACCACTACCGTGCTTCATTGTTGTATTTAATTGGACTACAAACCGTAATTTTTGTAGGAAAAATCGAGTAGAACCAAAATTAATCTCTTCACTGTTATGGAACACATAACTAGAGTTGTTAAAAGGCCCGAGTCTCCCGAGTCTTCGACTCATTCAAGTCTCGAGTCTCTTATAAAGTCTCGAGTCGGGGCTCGAGCTCTTAAGGCTCAGTAGCTTCGACTCGGAGCTCGAGTTTCCGACTCGGAGCTCATTTCTCACAACACTACACATAACTCTGTAAGTGTATTGCCTTGTAATTATTTGTCAATTTGATACATTACGGTGTTCGCGAGGTCTATGACCGGAAATTCCTGCATCGACTATGTTCATTCTGTAAGGTAGTATTACATTTTTTCCATTTTTCACCTTTTAATATAAACACATTAGCTAGCATAATATTAGAAGCGCAGTGCACAATTGCAAAATCATCTTATGCTATTATATTATAATTCAAAACAAATTTATATTAGAACATTGAACATAGTTACATTAAGTTCATCTCAATTCGTAACATCGAGTTCTTGTTTCATTTGGCCATGACGGCGTTCACTTTCTCGGCGTTCAATTGCGAGACCTTTGAATACCGACGAATGTAATATTCGGACATTCATAACTGTCCGCATACTTTTCCAACCTTAGTATACAGTAGATTATTATTATACTAGCTTTCGCCCGCGACATCGTCCGCGTGAAATTAAAAAAAAACAAAAGCGAGTAGTCTATGTGTTCTACCAGACCATTCTCCACATCTATTTCATAAAAATCCGTTCAGCCGTTTAGGCTACAAACTCTAACAAACCATCTATCCATCCATCTAAACTTTCGCATTTATAGAATAAAAACAACTTTTAAAATAAGAAGTACAATTATATCCCCAGAAATATTAAATTTCATGCAAGGAAATTCTCAAAATCATTAATTCAGTCTTTATGTATTTTTTGATTAGAACTTACCCCCAATTTGTTCTATTTTCACATCAGCCATATTAGGCTTGGCTTCGAAATACTCTAAATTATCATCGCAGTATAGCAGCATATGATCAGGCGACACCATCTCGGAGCTGCCGCTGCCATCGCTCGCTAATTCCAGCATTTTCTTATCTGAAACATTTATTATTTAACTTATAAGTGAAACAAATTACTTAAACTTAAGTTTTGTGGACTCAGTTCTATTTTTTCATTGAGTGATTGTTCGATTTCATTCGTTTACTTAGAGTTGTTAATTAGACAATAAGGGAGAGTTAGCGGAGTTTTCTTTCGTACGCAAGAAGACAGACAGAGAGTCGGTCTTAAGACAGACCACTTAATAATTCTGCGTGTTAATGCTAAAATATGTTTTAGTGTATATTTTAACTAATATAAATCCATAGACTTATTGTGGAAAAATTAAGGCGTATTTATTTGCGCACATTAGTGACTGATGATATATTATAACATAGGTTATATATTTTAATATCGCATATAAGCTAAAAAGAAATATTATCTAAAGTTGCCATGTTAAAACTTCACGGTTTAACATTTATTGTTTTCATTGATTGATAACCGTAAGTCTAACTCAATCAATTCAACGATTTATACACTTCGGTGTTATTTAATACAATCATATTAAATACTAGCCGTTCCCGTGCGGCTTCATCCGCATGAAATTATGAAAATTTTATATTATTGTTTACGTTTGTCAAATTATCAATAGCAAATGTCAAAATGACATGATATGACAAACCTTGACAATCTTGCTTCCTTGATGTTGGCAACAACTTATGGTCTCCTTCCCACATTAGGGTTTTTATCCAAAAATTTACCACCTAATGGCGTGAAAATATATAGCCTAAAATTAATAAGAAAAGAATTATTTAAAAATATGCTGTTATTGCTGACATCTTAGGCAACAAAGAAGTGTGTTTACGCTTTATTATAATAGTATAGATATGTATATATCATTCAGAAATTACATAATAGACAAAAAAAAAATAGATTTTAGTTTAATGAAAACTTTACATATGTTGATGTTGAATTTACTAGTGTTTAACTATTTTAATCTTTGACATTTTTAAAATTAAAAACGATTATTTTTAAAGTTTTAAGCAACCTTAATTATGTTTTGCTGGTAAGTAATATAAGGTATTATAAGGATCGGCGAGCGGGTGTGGAGGTAAGGCGTTGCTAGTTGCTAAGCAACCGTCTCGGCGCCTACGGTATGTCTAGAGATCGACATTTTATCTTCAAAGGATTTGAAAAATGTTTACCTATTTTTTTTTACATGTTTTGTTTTATTCTTATATTATTTATGTATTTAAGTACAAATAAAAGAAACAACTAAATAATAATAGATCAACAGGTTAACGAAAATAAATGATTACGTCAACAATAAAAAATACACAGTAAACTAGACGTTGCATAAATCAAAATTATGCATTGCTAATTTTTTTAGTAAAAGGGAAGGAAACAATTCTAAGGTGGAAATGACGTGGATGTCGCGTAACCTCGTATCGCATAATAAACAGCAGTTAATTATGCATACAGACAGCTATTATTTAGTTTCTGATTGATTTTGCTTCTAGTTTTGTGGACTATTTTTTATACACATTGGCTAAAACTTTTAGCCAACGTTATATTCTATAAACGTGTTATAAAGTTAAACTTACGAATAAACTGAGTATAAGCAAAATTTATTTTTATATTTCCTAAGTTTCATTTTATTCAACAGACGTAAAGATTCGTGGTTTTCAATGACTGAGGTCTCGTAAATTAAAATTATAGCCGTCATTCCTTCTCGACATTATTAGTAACAACAATTTTTAATCGTAAAAAGTTAATTAACGAAATATATGTTATAATTTTTGTTTCAATAGATAA